CATTAACACATGGAAATTAAATAGTACCCTCCTGAACAACCAATGGGTCACAGATAAAATTAAAGAAGAAATTAGACAGTTTCTACAATTAAATGATAATGACAATAAAACATACCAGAATTTATGGGACACAACAAAAGCAGTCCTAAGAGGGAAATTTTTAGTAGTAAATACCCAAATTGGGAAAAAAGCAAGCATAAATAAACAAATTAATGCTGAATCATGAACTTCTAGAAAAAGAAGAGCAGGTTAAGCCAAAAGATCATATGAGGGAGGAAGTTATAAAGATCAGAGCAGAAATTAATGCACTGGAGACTAAAACAAATACAAAGAATCAATGAGTTAAAGAGTTGGTTCTTTGAAACATTAAATAAAATTCACAAACCCTGAGGCAACCTTATTTAAAAAAAAAAAAGAAAGAAAGAAAAGACTCAAAACCACGCAATTAGGAATGAAAAGGGTGAAATCATGGCCCCTGCCTAAATCCAGATAATCTATACCTACTTCAAAAATATGTGTTCTAATAAGATAGCAAATGCAGAAGAAATGGACAGATTTCTAGATACAGAGGAATTACCACAGCTGAATCAAGAAGATATAAAAATCCTAAATAAACCAGAATCAAATCAAAGATGTAATTAAAAACCTACCCTACCAACAAAGAAAAGCCCAGGCCCTGATGAATTCACTACTGAATTCTACAAGAAATTTAGAGAAGACCTAACACCACTACTTCTGAAACTCCTTAATGACATTGAAAGGGAAGCAATATTCCCAAATCCATTCCTGGAAGCAAGCATTACCCTGATACCAAAACCAAAGAACCCAACTAAGAAAGAGAATTATAGGCCAATCTCCCCAATGAACACAGACACAAAAATCCTCAATAAGATACTGGCAAGCAGAATGCAGCAAATCATCAAGAATATACGTCATGACCAAGTGGTATTCGCTGTATTACCATTAATGGCAGAGGCAAAATCAGGGGAGCATCATTTTTTGCAAAATTTAATTTTCCTATCCAAACAAAAAACCCAGTATCCTAAGAAAATATTCTTAAAATATTGAGCCAACCTCCTCAAAGTAATTTCACCTAAGACCAGGTGTTTATAGCAAAGAATCAGAGACTGAGGAAACAGGGCAGAGGGCTGCGTAGGCCTGGTGTTTGTGGGATGTGTACTGCATCCACACGAGGAGAATCAGGTAACCCTCACGATTTTGCCTTGGATACCTTTCAAGTATCTTTGTCTCTGCTTTGTACAGTGCAGAAAGTAATAATGGAGATACAATTCTGTGTACATACTATTTTATTAACTATTATTAACTGTATTTTTTATGAGTTAATACTGCAGACTGCTTCCAGACTACGGACATTCTGCAATCAGTTTTAATAATTATAATGAATGCCACTTCTAATATTATCAAAATCTGTATAATTTATATAAAAAGTATGTTAGAAAAACTCAATGTGAAGTTGTAAGTTAAAATGCAAAAGCCCTTCCTTTTCTTTCCCCTGTACAAGGAGCTGCTATTAACAAGAGAACATATTTATGTCATCTTCATTATTTTTGTGCTTTTTTTTTTTTTTTTTAATCTGGACAAGAAATCTAGTGTAGCAGATAGGGCTATGGATTGAGGCCCAAACCTTCCGGGCCCGTGTGCCCACTGTCCAGGTCTTGTGATTCTGTGATACTGGGAAGCTTATTTAAATGGCCTTATTTTCTTCTGCAGCGATGTGGGGGTGCTAATAACACCTACTGGAAACACTAATAGCAGGTCCTTGTAAAGGCATTGAGCATACTGCCTGGTGCATGAGCAGTGCTTAATTCCCTGTGAACCCCGGTTGTTCAACTTTAAGGGTGTACAGTAACATATAGAGTACTTGCTCTGTGGTGCAGTGATCGAGATACCTTGGAAACCTTCCTGCTACAAACATGCAGTATGCAAGATACAGCGTCATTGGCCAGGACAGTTAGGAATGAATCGCCGGGCTAGGAAGAAACCTTGGAGTGCAGTGCATGAGCGCACGCTCCTGCTCCACTGGGAGGTTGCCAGACTCCACACTAATCCAGGCAGAGGAGACCTCAACCCACAGGATCTGGGTTTCAGTAACCAGGAAACCTGCACTGCACCAGATGCTGTTGGAAAGGCTACACTAGAAAACAATCACCTGCTCTCAAAGGGAAACAATGAGTATCTGTATCTGGATTTTGATCATATGTTCTGCTGGGAACATTGTTCAGCCAGCAGTACTTTATTGAGATGTAGTGAACAGTGTACAGGTCTGAAGTAGACTGCTTGGTGACCGACATTCAGATCAAGAAAGCGAGCATTATCCTCACTCCCAGAAGTTCCTGATCCTTTTCTCCAGCCCCTCATCACCCAGAGGAAAAACTACTGTCCTGACTTTATCGCCACAGTTTAGTTTTGCCTTTTTTTTGGTGGTGGTGGTACTGAAGGTTTAATCCCAGGGAGCTCTGCTACTGAGCTACATCCCAACACCGTCTGTTCCCTCTCTGAGACAGGGTCTTGTTATGTTGTCCAAGCTGGACTTAAATTGATGATTCTCCTGCCTCAGTCTTCTCAATGCTGAGATTATAGGTGTGCACCAATGTACCTGGCGTAGTTTTGCCTCGTCTTAACTTCACTGAAATAGAATCACGCAGCATGAACTGTTTTATGTCTGACTTACCTTATTCAACTTAATGTTGTTGAACTTGATCCACATGGCTGCATGTATCAGTAATTGCTTTTTGTAAGTATGGTACAGGGTGTTCATCCTCCTATCAATGGACGTTTGGACTGTTTCCAGTTTGGGCTGTTATGAGTACAAGTCTCTTTATGGACTTACATAGTAATTTCTTTACTCAAGGAGTGGTGTTGTGGGTCACAGGATAGAGGCATTTTTAAAATTTTATTAGAAATTTCAAAAATGTTGTGCGCAGCAGTTGTGCCATTTTGCCTTCGTCCATGTTCCTCCAGAGCACTGATTGCCCCAGTGTGTCTCAAACCGTGTATTGCCAATCTTTCCACCTCTGTTCCTGCGGTAGGTACGAAATATCCTCTGGCTGTGGTTTTAATTAGCGTTTCCATGATCATGACTAACGGGGCCAGGCAGCTTTTGCGGGCTCATAGACTATTTGGGTATCTTTCTTCGTGATGTTGCCTTTCAAGCATTGTGCACTTTTTGGGGGGACTGTAGTTCTTATTTGTGATATTTATTTTCATTGCAAATCTTTTGTTGGAGATGTGTATTGATTTTCTCTTAATCAGTGGCTTATTTTTCTCTTCTTAGTGATCTTTGAGTAACAGTTGTTTTTGATTTTGATAATGCCCAATTTATCACTTTTTGATCTTACGGTTAGTGATTTTTCATGTTGGATTAAAAAAACCTTTATCTACCCCAAGGTCACAAAAATATACTCCTACATTTTCTTCTGAAAGCTTTATGGTTTCTGACTTAAGGTCTGTGATCCATTTTGTGTACAGTGTGAGCTAAGGGTCAGAGTTGGTTTTATTCAGTGGAGATAAACAGTTGTTCTCCCAGTTATGGAACGCTTCCCTTTGTTGAATTTGTAATAATATTGCTTTGTATAGCAAGTTTTAAAATCTGATAGTTGAATGCTTCTAATTTTATTATTCTTGTTTAGTTTTATATTGGGTATTCTAGATGTTTTTGTATTTCCCTAAAATTATAAAATCAACTTAGTTTCTATTTAAAAAAAAAAAACAAAACAACCCTGTTTCTGTTATTTCATTGAAATTGTATTAACTCTAGATTGCTTCAGAGGAACCTGACATCTTAACTATGTGGAATCCTCTAACCCACTTGCCTCATACACTCTATTTTTGTGTGTCTTCTTTAATTTCTCTCAGCAATATTTTGTATTTTTAGTGTACTTTTTAAATTAAATTTGTTCCTAGGCACTTGATGTGATTTACTTAATTTGTTCCTAAATATTCAGTGTTTTGATGCTATTATAGATGAAGCATTTTAACTATTTATTTTACTAATATTTGTTTCTAATACATGGACACAGATTTGTATAGATTGACCTTGTGTCTGAATTTACTGATTGCTATTTTAGTATATGTGCTGCTGAAGCAAGTACTAAATTTACTAATTGATTCTAGCAGTGTGTAGATTTCTTTGAATTATCTTTGTATCCAATCATGGAAGCATTCTGTCTACAGATAAAGCATTTTTCAGTTCTAGAAGTTTTATTTGGTTCTTTTTTTTTTTTAATTTCCTTTTTCTTTCCATGTCATTCCCTCTTGGTTTCATCAAGTGCTAAGAATAGTACCACTTAGAAATATGAAGACTACAGCACATATGGATAATTCTCATTTTCAATGACAGATCTCTCTCGGCCCTGTCTGCTTATCATACTGGCTTGATTGCACCAATGAAGATTCGTACAGAGGCCCCTGGCAATCTTCGTTTATACAGTGGGAGCCCCACTCGCAGCGAGAAAGAGCAGGTCTCCATCAGCTCCTTCTACTACAAGGAGCGGGTAAGTGCCCAGGCTACTGCCTTTGATTCTTACCCTTCTCCTGGGTTTTTACTCTTTATATCCCTCCCTGCTGTGCACAGCAGTTGAGTAATCCCTGTATATTATTTTACTTTTATAGTCCGTTCATGAAAGGCTGATGCTATGCTCCATTCTGCTGGTTTTAACCAGTGTGGCTTGTGTGGTGGAAAGGAGGGCTGAGCACTACAGTCTTTCATGTTCCGTGTGACCCCACCGTGTAACTCCCATCCATCCAGTTGCTCCCCGTTAGTTCAGTTGGAATAAACAGCTTCAGGTCCTCCTGGCCATTCTGATATTTATCAACAAATTAAAGAATATTTTGAAAGCTGGGGTTTTGATATATTTGGAACTTCATAGTTATATAAGATCTTTAAAATTGATATCTAAAAGGTTTTGTACTTCCGTTAAGAATACACTTAAATGCCCTTTAGAATGCTTCAATTTGTACAAATATCACCTGACTTGTCCTTATGTTCTAGAGTTATTAAAGAACTCATCCTCCCTAAAGTAGTTATCACGGAGCTGGCAGAAACCTTTGGTAGCGGCAGTTTAGAGAACACTGGCAGAACATAGGAACAGTTATAAGAATTCTTTCTGTGTTGTCAGATTGAGAATCTGGCTTGAACAGGTTTTAGCTGACATGGTGTTTAAATAGTTACCACTGAGCTACTCCATAAACTCAGTCCTTAGGAATTCTTGAGTATCATTCCCTGCTAAATGAGAAATGATAAATTAATTTGTTTTTAAAAATTGAGTTAATTTTAAATCCGAAGCCAAGTTTCTGTCAGTATTGGAAATGTCTTCACTTGTATTGCAGTGCAGCGCCTACCCTTGGCTTGTGGTAGCTGACCAGCCCTGACTGACTTTGTGTAGCCTTAGAGCTTTATGTGACTGAGTGGCGGCAGCTTGTGTTTGAGACAGGACCAGTGTTGTGGCAGAACCTTTCAGTCAGTAGAGGAAATGGTTGTTTGTTGCCTTCTTGGCCAACTTGCCATAGTCCCCTTCCTCACATCTGTGATGGAGTTCTGTCCGCCTGGCTGTGACAGACCTCACTGGAACACCTGCCTAACCATATCCTCCTTAAATTCTTTACTTTCCAAGTTTTTAACTCTATTTTTCTTTTTCTGAAGGCTAGCAGGTAACTGGATAGATAATTTGATAACTATTTGGAATTAAGGCACTTAATTGCCATGAAACCCAGAGACACTCATGGTTGAACAAATGTGAGAATTTTCCTTAATGTCATGGCTAGGCTAAGGAGATCTAGTTAGAGGCAAATCTGAATTTCCCTTCTGTTCATGTCAAGTGCTGCCTGCCTGTGCTTGGAATGTAAATTGGGCAGAATAGACTCACCAGCACTTTTGATTTTGTGGTAGTGTGTAAAGCCCATTTCTAGCCCAGGGAACTCCATTTCCAAGATGGGACCTCTTCTAATGTAAAAGCATTGGTAGAACCTGTGTTCATGTCCCTGATGATCTGGCCTCTTTTGCTGCAAACACCATAGTCCTCATGAGGGACCAGAGCAAGGGGCTGATAGGATCTGGGGGGTGGCAGAAGGAATGTGATACTTAGTTTGGGATAGTTCCAGACATGTGACTTCTCCACAGAAAATAGGCCATTCTAGTACCCTAGTCTGACAACAACATGCAGTCTTTAAGTTTTAAGCAGTGACCAAAATAAAATAGGAGGACACTTTTATTATAATCTCACATGTATTGATATACAATATACATACAGAAAAGTTCCTAAATTATGATGGAGGTAGATTTGAGTGTTTCACTATCACATAGGTCATTGCAAGACAGTGAGAACCCGTGGACGAGGGAGACACACTGTAATGATTGACATACAGTAATTCTTAGGTTAAATCGTATGAAAGTGCTGATAATTGACCACTTTTTGATCTAGAAAGATTTCATGCTGTTCATCCTATTTAAGAAAACAAAAATGATTAAAGTCAGTTACTTCATGGTGAATCTGAAGAAACCTTGTCTAAAACTTGTTTATGCCCATCCTATTTAAGTAGGGCGGAGGAAGTGCTAAGTCGTGGAATTCTGCCATGATGTCTACACAGGCTGCCACATCTCCCGTGCAGAGCTTGCTACTCCTTCAGGAGCATTTTGTAGGCCTCAGGAGTCTCATTTCACCTGTCAAATGGTAGCACTTTATTATTTTTGTTCAGGAAGCATTTCCAGCTTACTAAATTTTTTTGAGCCCCAATTTTTCTCCAGCATACTTATATTCCCTTTTTAGATCTCTATTCTTTTCCTGAGAGCTTTAATTGAGGGAGAATGAAGGAATAGCAAAGATGCATTCTAGAAGATCTAGCAATGAAGGAATTCCAGAGTATTTTTGAGATTATAAAGGCTCTTTGAAGAGCCATTTGGACACAGTTGTTTGTTTTGCTTATGTTTTTAGCCTGCCCTACTTGGGTCAAATTGTTGTATTCACCCAGTGTTCCAAGGTTTTTTCCCTAAAATCTTAAAAATGTGAGAGGCCTAAAATCTCTGTAATTTCATAAGTCAGAAAGCAAAGAGATGCTCACATGAATGAATTTAGCAAGCAGACCAGCTATTAATAGCTGATGAACTATTGTTCATTCTAGGATAAATCAGAAGGCCCAGAACTTGTGATAAACATTAGGCATTACCTGATAAACACCAAAAAAATCACTTTCATCTCTGCTTTAGTGTATGTTACTAAAAATTGTTTTGGTGTAAAACCTGGGGGTCTTTGTGTTAGTAAATCACCTTCCGATCTCCAGAATAAGGCTGTGTGCTCCCCGTTCCACTGTCTTAGCCAGAATGCCCTCAAGAGTGTTCCTTCTCCTCCTTCTTTCAATTCTCCAGGGCTCTGCGCTCCCCAGCTCTGAAAGTGGCCCTGAAGTCCCGTTGTCCACACATGCAATTTTCTCATCAGCCCCCACCCAACCACACACACCCCCTTATCGGGTATCGAGCTTCTTCCCTTTGGGGAATGAGAATGTACCCTGAGTCACCATTTCCTTCTCATTGATTAAAAGGGACGGAGAGGGGACTACACAGAGTCTTTCCCTGTTTCTCTGCTGGCATTGTGCTCTTTGCCCTTGTTCAAACACCTCAGCTGTTGATTGTATAGTCCCTTTATCAGAGCCGTGTTGACGTTAGCCTCCTTGTGTCCTGGAACGTGACTGAAGAGCAATGAACTTGAAGCTGGGTTTGGAGTGTGCTGGGTAGGGGTGGGGAGGTAACGGAGTCGGAGCACTGATGTGCCGCAGCTTCATAGTTCCGCTGTTCTGCTCCCAGTTTTGTGGTAGCTATACCTTTAAAACAGCAGATGTGGGGGGAAGCTTTCATATTATTCTATATTTTTCCCTTTTAATTTTCTCGGTGTTTTTCTTCCCTTTTCCTGGGTGTAACGTTTTCACGCACAGATGTCTCCTCGCTCTGCCCGGCGACGTTGGTCCATACAAGCCATTAACGACTTCCCGGTACTGTGCGCTGTGCAAATGCTCTCCTTAACTAATCCTGTCTCTGCCCAAAGGCCCAAGAATAAAATGCCACCTGCCTGGCTTTGAGGAACCTGAAATGACAGGCTAACTGGCTTTCAAGACCCGCAACCATAAATTCTCTCTGAGGAGTCCAGCTCCAAGGACTGCCTCCTTGTTCCGTTGTGGGGTCACCAGTGGGTAATGTTGGGAAGGGTCACAGCTGGACTGCTTTGCAAATGAAACTTAACAGTGGGTTCTCGGCGGGAACTCCAATCAGATGACATTAACTTACCTGATTTCACTTGGAGCATTTCTATAACGCCATGGGGTTTCAAACGCCTACCTTTGGCATGGGGGGAGCAGAGGAAGATACAAGAGGCTTCTGACACCTCTGTTTTTATAGTTTTGGTCTAGCTTAGAGAGGGACGTGTGCCCACCTGCTTCACTGGCACGATACATAAGCTATTTTTCTCCTTTGGGAATTTTCCAGAACAAATTTTTTCCTTACCGTCAGTATTTTGTATTTGCCAATAAACCTCTGCGATAGCTGTCCCCTCTTCTTCCTGCTTTCCGACTCATTCCTATTGGCCATCTCCCCTCTGCTGTCTTCCTCCCATCCCCTTCATGTTTCAGTAGTGCCGAGGCGACCTCAAGGCAGCCTTGAGGCTTCAGGTCAGTCTCACATGCTGTAAAGAAATGTTTAGAGGAACCGTCCTATAGCCTTTTTATATAAAACCAGTTGAAATCAGGAGCCCGATTAGTAAGTACCACTGCTACCAGCAGCTTGCCAGGGGAGCCACTGACAAAGCTGGTCCTCACCAACCCAACTGCCGAAGCTCCACTGCTTTTCCGGAAGTCCCTGCTCTCCCTGCTCTTTAAATAGGAGCTCGTTTTGGCTCCCTGCCCACTGCACTGATTATGCATTGTTGACGGGGTTGCTGCGAAGCAGTTGGTGGCTTATTCTTGGGCTGTTTTTACATTTAACCCATTTACTGGCATTGATGTTGCCTCCGATTGTAGCAGTAACACTGGTGGTACAGTTGCGAGCTGGCTGTTGGTTGTCATTCAGTGCTCTTCGCACCAATGCCTCCTCCCCCTTCTTCCCCGTCTTCTTTGCCATATGCCACAAACACCTTCCCAGGATGTTCAAGAGGGGCATCCTGGAGCTCATCACGTAATAATTTGTCTGTCTTGCTTTGTCTCTTCCCTCAGTCCCTTCTCATGAATTCTGTGGGAAAGGGACATTTTCTGTTGATGGAGCATTGAAAAGACCTAAGAGAAAGAGTCCTTTGCCTCCCAGAAGTACCAATTTTATTGCACAGAAAAACGTCCACGCTGAAGCCCGTCAGAGTGGGACTGGAGCAAGGCAAGAGGGGGAGGGGGGTGTGGCCCATGGCGTTCCTCCTTAACCCGATGGAGTAATCTGCCTTAGCCTAGAGGGTCAGTGTTCTCTGAAACCCGAGTCCTGGGAGAAGTCCATATGTCATTACCCCATCTGTTGCATAGACAAGACAGACTCCCCAAAATGACCTGCAAGATACTCAAAGTAAAGTCAGTTTTAGGAGAGGTGTGGATGAAATGGAAATTTTTTTATTGCCAAAGTCCTGGAAGAAAACTCCTTATCTCCTTTTAAAAAAAAAAAAAACGGAAATTGAACTCAGGAACCTCACATTTGCCACGTAGGCACTGTGCTGCTGAGCTATATCCCCGGCCCCTGGAGGAAAGTTCCTGAAAATTTGTTCATCTTTTTTTGTTAGAGAACAGCCAGGGTGTAAGGCCCCAACTAGTACTTGATTATCCAGATTTAGGCAGCATTGTTATATTTGAATCTCTGGAATAATTAATCATTAGGATTATTGAGTGATCCCTATAGCCTGAAAGGAAGACATTTCATATTTAAAGCCAACCACCAACTTAAAAACACAACAAAAATTAGCACTGCTTTGTAGTACCTTAAGAACTTTAACATGGGGATATAGCTCAGCAGCACAGCAGTTGCCTAGCAAGCACGAGGTTGTGAGTTTGATTCCTGGTACCAAAAAAAACAAGAAGAATTTTTGACAGTGTTTTGCAGTTATTCCTTGCTGGATTAATGAAAACTACTAGTGCTGTCCCATAGTGGTTTTTACAGTCTGGTTCCTAGTCGCAGCTAGAATCAGGGTGTTCCCATGTTGTGGAACCACTTTCAATTGTAGCTTAGAGACAGCAGAGCAAGGTTCCAGGAAATACTTCCTGTTCATCTAGTGCAGATCAGGTCGAAAATCCTGGAAGGCTGGTGTCTCAACAACTCCAGGAAATACAGATTTCCCTACTTCAGTGAAGGATTGTTCCACAAACTTGTTAAAGACCACTGTCTTTATATTTTCATGAAGCATTTACTGACAGCACACACTAGTTTCTTCCTACTGATCTCTGTAACCCAAGACTGCAAATGGCGGAAGAAAAAGACCTAAGATATCTCTTCAGACTCTGAGTTTTCATCTGTCTGACCTAAACACACACATGCAGGGCAGACTCAAACCCTGCCTGAAACACAGTCTCAGTCTGAGTCTGCAGTCATGACACTCAGCAGAAGAGTGACTGAAGAACTCAGTAGTTGTAGGGTAGTGTGAGGTAGGAAATACTCGAATCAAATGTTAATCTCCTACGTACAGAAATGAATATTTAAAAATGGACCACTTACCTATTAACAGATAGCTTTGTCAGGACTTAATTTTTGTCCTTGTTAACCTAAAATCATATACAATACTGAAAAGCTAATTAACAAGAATGGACTCAGCAGTCTGATGGACCTGTTCCAATCCCAGCTGTGTAACCGACCTTGAGTAGGCCTCACATGCCCTTATACAGTGAGGCGATCCCCATACCAGGGAGCTCTGGTGAGCTGCATGCCCCTCAGGGCGAGCCGTCCTTCAGCAGGGGCTAATGTGACATGACAACAGGCAAGACCTGAAGTCCTGAGTCAAACATCTGTACCCTTGCAGCGTTCACCATCAGTTTCCACACGAACCAGGCTACTCGCACATGAGCCACTTTGACGCAAGCCTTCATGTAATGAGTAATGTGCTTTTATTAGTTTTGCTTCAAAAGCCAGGAAATTGTAGTTCTTTCAGCGTGTGCTAAATGCTGGCAGACTCCATCTTCCCCATGCCTCCATCTATTTCAGCTGTCCTGAGTTGTTCAATTGTTCAAGTGCTTTTCATTTTCTCTTTGTAACAAGGAGCCAGAGCAACTTCCTGGAACAGTGCTTAGAAGCCTTCCAGCCCACCTGAAAGCCTAAGTTAGACAGATCACATTCCATTCCAGGTGGAATCTTTATAGCAGTGATTAGTTTCAGTGCCCTGAGTCTCATTTGAGGTGGTCAGTCGTGTGGTACCTGTGAGCATGTCGTTTCTGGCTAGCTACGCACCTCGTGCTGTTCACTGTCGCTGCAGGGCAGATGTGCATTAAATGACCCTCCCTAATCAGGTCATGCATGGCATGGAGTCCACCTGTGACTGCAGCTGTTGCATGTCAGTGAACACTGCCTGGCTCCAGCCCATTCCTATGGGCTGTTTGCTCTTTAACATGTCCTTGCCTTACCTGAACCCAAACCAGGATGTTTGTAGCTGAAGGATAGTATTGTTGATAGTATCACATAACTAGAAAAGAATAAGGACACTAGAGAATTGAAGGGCTACCCCAAAATACTGGATTAAACTTTTAATCAAGAATAATGACTTGCTGAGGAGCCGGAGGCAGTAGGATTGAGAGTTTGAGTCTAGCCTGGGCAAATTAGTGCCTAGGGAGAACCTGCCTCAAAATTTAAAAGTAAATAAATAAAAAGGACTGGGGAGGCGGTTCAGTGGAAGGCCATGCGTCCAATCTCCAGTGCCACAATAAACAAAAACAACCATACACACACACAACTCGTACAGATAAGTAGGAAACAGTAATAGAACTGCTTCTTAAGATCAAGTGGGCTAAGGTTCCAAATTGATAGTGTAGCGTATGTACTTACATATTACGATAAACAGTTCACAGATGTTTCCGTTAAACTTCTTCACTTACTTGCCCTAAGTCAAGGTATCCTGGGCTTAGTAAGGCCCAAGACGCATGCCAGCCCTCGAGGAAGTTACACACGTTGGGCACCTTTGGGATTAGTCGGGACACCAGTGGTCAGAAATGAATGTCTGGGGTTAGACCAAGACTAATTCATGAAAGAGTGATTATATAAAAATCACTTGTACAAAATGAATTTTTTGTGAGTAATCTAAATAATAAGTTTTTGTAGATTCCTGAGAGTTTGTATGCTTTCATAATAATTAGATATTTTTAGGTTGTTCCTTTCCATTTGTGTAGTTTATACCCATATCTTTTTACTGTCCCCTTGCTGACCTTGTGAGATTGGACAGCAGAGCTCACCATCAGCTGTAAGTTGTCAGCCAGCAGGAGTGATGTGGATGAGACCAAATCTGCAGTAAAGAATGAGTTTGCCCGGGGTTATATTGAGAGGAAGACCAGGTAGCCTTAGTTTTCTGACTCCCTGTTGCAGGCTCTTTTCACTTGCTCCTTTTCGTCTTGGTCATTAATAAATATGTCACTCCTTTCCTTAGTTGACTCATTTTGGTGACCTCTTTGTTAGCTTCTGGAAATGAAATAATATCAAGTACAGTACTGCTCCCTTATTTGGTTGTCATCTGGAAGATGCCAGGTGGGGTGACACTTAATAATTCTCATTTTCCAGGACATTTCCCATTTCACATATAGATTCCTTACAGAGAGCCACTTACGGGGGCTGCTCTAGGGATCGGGGCACTGGCTCCTGGTCTCCTGTGTCCATTACCCAAGTCCTCTGACTCAGGTACTTCTGACCTTCTAAAATGATCGCTTTTAGAAATCACTCGGGTCTACTAGAAAAACAGGATCATTCTCCTCAAGCTGCCACATTTCTTTGTCTTCCTCCAGAGCTTAAGGTTTGCAGAGCCCACACCGCTGTATCTGCATTAAAATACCAACAGACTCTCCTCAGAAGAAAAAACTTCGATAGTTTCAGGCAATGACTTTGAACCTAGTACTGAACTCAACCTTAAAATCCACTCTTCTCTGACATTTTTGGGATCTTTACTAACTTATTTACCTGCTGTTTTAAAATTAATTCATTAATTTTGGCTTCCTGGTATGGATTTTTGAGCCCCTGCAGAGTGTAGATAGCCCTGCAGTACTTTCCTGTTAGGATTTTGGCTCAAGAGTGTAGTGCCCTGTGTCATCCTTCTGTTTCCTACAGATGCTGATTCTTGTAATTGTGAGCATGATGTAATTTAAAGTCTCTGCAAATTACCAATGATGCAAACATGATGAGCTCCGCAACTATAGGTTCCCACCCCGCAAAGTCCCAATTAGTTACATCTTGACATCTCCCCCAGAAATCGAGGAGGTGGAAAAGTAAGCGCGAAGGTTCGGACTCTGGCAATCGACCCATCAAGGCTGCTGGGAAGGTCATCATCCAGGACATTTCGTGCCTCCTTCCTGTTCACAAATCTCTGGGAGAACTGTACATGTAAGTTCAAGGTTTCAAGTATGCTATGCTCATGTCTTAGGATTGGCAATTTTTTTTTCAACATTAGAAGCTTTTCTTTAAAAAGCAGTTTCAGGAAAAGCCCAGTGTATTAGCTTTCTGTTGCTCCATAACAAATTACTGCAAACTTAGCAGTTTTGGACAACATACGTTTGTTACCTTTTAGTTTCTATGGGTCAGGATTCTAGGTATGGCTTCACTTGGCTTCTGCGTCAGATCTCACCCAAATGAAATCATGACATTGGCCAAATGGTGGTCTCTTCTGATGCTCAGGGTCCTCTTTTAAGCTCATTCAGTTGTTAGAATTCAGACCCTTGCAGCTGCTGTAGAAGGCTTCTGTGAATTTCATCTTTCTTCACCTGCCTCACCTGCTTAGGTCAGGCCCACCCAGGAGAGTCTGCCTTTGAACAAACTCAGAGTCAACTGCTTAGTAATATAATCAGGGGCATGATATCCCATCAGTATTCACTGGTCTCACCTGAATTGAGAGGAAAGGGATTGTGCAAGGCTTATATGGCAGGGGGCAGGAATCTTGGAGACCAGCTTAGAATTCAGCCTCCCGTACCTAATACGGAAAACAGACCAAACAAAGCTACGTTGGTCAAGGGAAGTGGGAGGTGGGTGAGCAGCTTGCAGAGGTCAGCTTGTGGTTCCCCCACTCCTTGAACTTGAACACATAATGAAAAGATTTCTTTTGTAGTACATACACAGCACAGTATTCATTGTGTGGAAATCATAGTCATGGTTGCACATACTTAAATCCCCTAAGCCTTGGGAATGCCACAGAGAAGCCAGTCAGAACGTTAGTATTTGATGTGGCCTGTCTTCCTGACTTCAAAGTGGTTAGGATTTCGCCTTCCCCAAGCAGGAACCCGCAGCCCTATTAACTTCAGCTCTAGCTAATCCCCTTGTGTCAGAGGGAAAGGAGCTTGAGGCCAACACACAGTAACATACTTCGAGTGACAACCAGAGAGGCAGTTTTCAGAGCGTTATACCAGGAGGACTTAGGGAGTTTGAGTGGAGAGAAACACTTTTATTCTTTTTAAAAATTCTCAGATTGAACGTGAATGATATTCAGGAAACGTGTCAGAAGAATGCCACTTCCGCCATGCTTGTTGGAAGGAAGGATCTTGTTCAGGTACCGTGCATCTCTTTGAGTGGAGCTCTGAGTTGTTCTGTAAGAGAAGATTGTTTTCACTTGGTAGTTATGGATTAGCAATGTTTTCAAGGTGTGTTTTCTATTTTGCAATTCTTTTCCCATTCTCTGTACCAACCTCTAGGGCTAGAGCAGCTTCCCAAGGCCCTTGGATATTTTGCTTGTATGTATAGCACTTAGTTGCAAAGATCCTAAAGTATTTATTGAAAATTTTTTTTTTTACTGTGTCTTTTTTCTATTTCAGTACCACAGTGATTGTTACATACCTAAGTTTGGGGTTTTTTTGTTTTTTTGTGTGTGGGTTTTTTTGGTCTTTTTGGGACAGGGTCTCACTATGCAGTTCAGGCTGGCCTTGAGCTCACTTCGTCACCCAGGCCGGCCTTGAACTCACAACAATCCTCCTACCTCAGCCTTCTGAGTGCTGGGATTACAGGCGTGTACCACCACGCCCAGCTACATACCTAAATTTGGTAATATCTGTGTCTCTGCCATTTGCACCCTCAATTCTTTTTTTTTAACTTGAAAAAGTATTTCATAAAATATTTACCAAAGTGTTCCTTTAGCTAGAGATGTTCAGTTTTAAAATATGATTTAATCTTAACAAAAATTTAAATTGCCTTCATCTTTGGAGGAGCACAGCAATGTATTAAAGCAAGCTGTTCCTATAGAGTTTTTTAAACAGCTTTATTGTAATGTAGTCTGCATATCATGCAGTTTACACATTTAAAATGTACTATTGAGCAGCTTTTAATATATTCAGAGTTACAGCTCTAGAACATTTTCATTACTCCCCAGAGTCCCTGGGCCCGCAGCTGTCACTTCTCCATACCTTCTTCCCCCAGCCCTAGGCACCCACTAGTCTACTCTCTGTCACTACTGCACTCTTATTCTTTAGTGTGAGAATTAAATTGAGCGATGGAAATTACTGGTGGTTGTTCTGTCAGCTCAGTAATTTGCCCTATAATTCTCCAAACATATCAGTGCCAAACTTCTTCCTTGATTTTTAAGACCCCGGTCACCTAGTATGTATGAACACTAAAAAAGTAAGTTGGGCAGGGCATGGTGGCACATACCTGTAGTACTAGCACTCAGGGGGCTGAGGCAAGAGGATGCCTGTGAGTTCAAGGCCAACCTGAACTACATAGCAAGACGTCTCAAAAAAGTAAAAACTAAGTTTAAAAAAAAAAAACTTGAGCTAATAGCAACAGTGCAGAATTTATAGCAGAAGACCTCGGTGCAACTTGGCTTCCTAGCAGAAGCAAGTTCTCTTAGACTCAGCCTTGGAGTATGTTTCTAAAATGAGAACCCTAAGAATAATTTCCTTATAGGTTGGTGAGAAGATTGGTGAATGCGATAGTAAGGTGGACCCAAGGTTCATGTCTGAAAAAAACATTCCCTGAGGAAAAACTACTTCTATTGAGTTTTTTGTTTTTGGAGTTCACAGTACTTTCCTGGCAGAGTTGACTTGGAAGGGCAGGGCAGGCTGAGTGAAGCGGGAAGACTCGGGACTTCAGACAGACACCGGCTGCAGCACTTTCTTGTTATGTGAGCCTAGGCAAGCCATGTAGGCTCAAAACTCCTTCTGAGAACTAAATGAGACGGTATCTACAAAGCCTAATAGCAGCTGGCAGGTGCGAAATGCCCACTATGTGGTGCAACAACTGCTCTGTTCAAATTATCACCCTTCGTGCTGTGATCCTCTTTACAGGGACAGAGAAATTGTAGTGGAGACAGCACTTGAAGAATTATTTTTGTTCTTTATGCCATGTTGAAGATGATGTTGACTGCTTTTTTAAAAGCTGCAGAAATAAATGCAAGCACCAGTCTGTTGAAGACATTTAGGAAATATTTGTTATGACGGGAGGCAGTAACACGGCAAGGCAGTCAGCCAGGGTGGAAAATCTATCCTCTCAGAAACGTATTAACTTCTTCTAGCAACCATTCACTGGGTCATTGATTAGAAATGAGTATAAAGTTCAAGTTTCTCTTTTAAAATAATACTTGTACTTTTCAAATATGTTGGTCCTGTGTAATTTCATTGATTTTGCATGTCTGATGTTTCTTAGCATTTTTTTGCTTATTTTTTCTTCTTAGATTATAAATTCCTTGAGTCAAAGCTTATATGTTTCCTTTTGAACTTACACAGAATCTAGGATAGTGTTTTCCTGTTAGTGGGTATACAGTGATGCTACTACGAAAGATTTACCAAAAGTACTGTTTTTTGTTTTGTTTTGTTTTTTGAGACAGGGTCTTACTATGGAGTTCAGACTGGCCTTGAGCTCACTTTGTAGCCCAGGCTGGTCTCGAACTCATAATGATCCTCCTGCCTCAGCCCCCCCCCGAGTGCTAGGATTACAGGCATTTGCCACCACACCCGGCAAAAGTACTGTAATACTGGATTTTTAAAGGTATCACAGGGACGAGAAGCTTTGTGGTGAGTTCAGTGTGAGCCTTGGGCTTAACATTTAATGAACGTTTCTGAGCCCCATGAGATTTCAGGTTTGGAGACGCTCCATAGATTTGCTGTCAGCAAAAAAGAAAGCCAAGTCTGTTTAGTCTTGGCTTACTCTTTTTTAACCTCAGAGAATATATGAAAACTTTTGTATTGAAAGCAATACCTTTTCATTATTTGGCTAAGAAAGGACAGCTCTTAGACATTATACAGAACGCCCTTCTTTGCTCCTTGCCAAGCGAGTTCACTAATGCAACAACTGAAAATGTCATGAGTTAATGGTTAAACAGATGATCCCTTGAAGTGATTTTGCGCTGTCATTTCCCTGCAGTTTTGTTAATAAGAATTTTGAAGTTAATGTTTCTCAGACTTAATAGTGCACACAGGTCCCCTGAGGGTCTTGTTTACAATGCAAATTCTGATTCAGCAGGTCTGAGCAGGGCCTAAAGTTCCAAACCTCAGTAAGCTTCCTGCTTTGAGTGCCTTTCAGATGCCAGGCTTCTGACTGTAGGTGGAGGACAGGTGGCTCCCTCCTTGGTTTCTGTTCCTGTCCTCTCTAGCGTCTCTCTTTGGTCTGCCCAGGTTTGGTCACTGGCTGCCGTAGCTACAGACCTTTGCCTTGGTCCGAAGTCTGACCCAGATTTGGAAACACCCTGGGCTCGGCATCCGTTTGGACGACAGCTGCTGGAGTCCCTGTACGTTTTGAGAACTAAACGTGAGGCAAATGAGTGATGTCAGTTGTCGGTCTGTAAGTGCATTAGACGTTATTGCCGAAGAGAAAGGTGCAGAAGCCTGAGGAATGAGAGCGAGAAGCAGGATCTTTCCTCTTAGCTCTGCAGTAACCTCTGTGCAGAATGAACTTCTTACACAGAGGGAATTAGAGCCATATTTGTCATTTATGGCAAGGATTTGTGACCCTCAGACTCTCGCATCTTCAGAGATTCATGTTTTAATCTGTAAATCACAGAGTGCTAGAGATGATAAGTTTCTTCTTGGATGTGGTGGGGTTTGGTCCCTGGGAACAGGGTAGAGAATTGTGCATTGCTGTTTGTGTTCTCCCAATACAAGGACTCCTCCACACTCTTAGGCAGCTCATGAAAACGTTGAGTTTGTGTTCAGTTTATCGCACTGAAATATGGCAAGCTATAATTATAATACACAAACCAATCTCCCACCGAGTAAGACACGTGGCTGTCCGTAGCATCAAGGCTCAGGGCCTGGGCAGCGAACTTTCTGTCCCTTGGGTTGGGGTTTTCTTTCCTTGCTTGCTGAGGCCAGGCCTGGGACATCTGCTCCTATCCCATTGCCTCGTCCTTAATGCAGAGGTGATAATGCAATTTATACAGTTCACATGAGACCCTCACATGACAGTGAGTGTGAAAACACTTAAAAATATTAGGCACCGAGTGATAGGAAGGGACATTATTTCGTGACAGCAGCAAAGACCTTCTGACCCTGACTCACGGTCTGGTAGTCCCGAAAGGCAAAGGGACGGGAGTGCCTAAAAGGTAAGAATATTCCTTGTCAGCCTTACTTAGTAGTTCATATTTGTGCTAGACGTGATGGCACATGCCTGTAATCCCGGCTACTCAAGAGGCTAAGGCAGAAGGATCTCACGTTCAAGGCCAGCTTGGGCAATGGAGTGATATTCTGTCTCAAATTTTGAAAAAGAATAAAATCTAAAAAGGGCTAGGAGTACAGTTCAGCAGTAGAGTGCTTGCCTCGCATGCACGAGTCCCTGAGTCCAATCCTTAGTGCTGGAAAAATGAAAACAAAAAAACTCATATGTGTAATTCCATGTCCACAGTCAGTAAGTGGTTCTCTGAGCGAGTTCCCACAGCTTTAGGTTGTGCGAATGGCGTACGTGGGAGTGACCCGAAGAGCAGTTTGTCTTCCTTGGAGTCGGGGCCTGAGAGCATGCGGGCTGCTCACGCCAGTGTCTGGCTGGCCTGTGTGGTCATGGAAAGCTGCATCTGAGCTGGCGCTCAAGCCCGGGTGCCGACCAGAGTTTTTACAGTGGATACTTAGTTCATTTGTACTTTCCGATGTCCATTGTTCCAAAACAAATGTGGCCAGACTCACAGTGGTCAGACCCTGGATCTGTAAAGGCCCAGCTCCTGATGCGCTTGTTGAGGCACACCCTGCCACGTGGCAGTAACCACATGACCATGACTGTCATCCTTCCTCCGTCCTATTTTTCATTTGTTTTCTCCTCACATCTGTTTCTTCAGGTTGGCGCATTATTGCCGGCTGCGGGACGTTCAGACCTTGGCTATGCTCTGCAGCGTGTTTGAAGCCCAGTCTCGGCCTCAGGGGCTGCCAAACCCTTCCGGGTCTTTTCCTAACCGATCTTCCAATCTCATGGTGTCCCATAGTCGATATGTACGTATGCGCCTTTCACATTTGCATCTGATTTCCATAATGTAAGCCGTGATGTGCAACAACATTCTGATGCCAATCCTGTGTGTCCCCTTCCATCCAGCCCAGCTTTACCTCCTCGGGATCCTGCTCCAGTATGTCTGACCCAGGCCTCAGCACCAGTGGCTGGAACATAGGTTGGTTGGGAGCGATGCTGCCTGCGCTGGATAGTCAGTCCTGTAGAAGCAGTGCGCAAGTTGTGCATATGTAATCTGTCTCCGTCACTTTCCTGTCGCTGGGACGCAGTACCCACCGCGCACAACTGAAAGGAGAGGCTTATTTGGGTTCATAGCTACGGTCCGTGGTCAGCAGACCCAAGGCAGGAAGAGGTGGTGAAGGAAAGCGGCTTGTGTCATGGTGGCCAGGAAGCAGAGAGAGAACAGAGGAGCTGGGGAGGGAGAGGCGCCCTTCCAGGCCACACCCGGTGGCCGCCTCCTAACAGCAAGTCCATTCACAGCCTGGTCCACTCCCCTTCCACAAAGCCCCGTCTCTGAGCACTTGAGGCTCTGGTGGCGGGGTGGTGGGGACGACACTCCAGGTCTAAACCACTGCCTAATCTTTAGCCGGCACATACTCTCCGTGTTTGCCTTCACGTCTCACTCCTTTCTCAATGTGGTGTGATAGGGTTGCTGCTGCCAGGAAGGCCTGGCCTTGGGTGTTGAATGGGCCATTTTCTCCAAGGTCTGTACTTTGCTGGGTTGCTTTGAGCCTTATAACCATGAAAAATTGATGCTGGGACTTGGTGACACTTCACCCCAAAAACCTAACCCTGCTTCTGTCTGCTTCACGTGCCCCTTTCCGTGATCATGCGATGTTCCCTATCGTCTGTCTCAGTCCATGACTTTTTTCGGTTGAGAGAGAGAGAGTTTACAGAAATAAAGCTAGGCCCAACCCCAGCTGGCCATAATGTCTGTTTCGTGAATAGATGTCTTTGTGTTTCCTGGATTTTTGAAATTTCATTTTTTAAAACGATCTTAATTTTCTTGATTATGAAAGTTATAGATGAGCCAGGTACTGTATTACATCCCCATATTGCCAGCTACTCAGAACACTAGGGCAGGAGGATCACTTGAGCTCACAAATTCAAGGCCACCCTGGGCAATATAGTAAGACCTTGTCTCCTAAACTATAAATAAATAAAAATAGTACATGCTCAGTGAAGAAAAGCCAAAAATAGTAAAGAAGAAAATAGTAATTATTGATCTGTCACTTAGGAATAACATGCATTAACATTCTTGTGTTGGTTAGCTTTCTGTTGCTGTGACAGGTTAATACCATACAGGAGGTGAGGTTTATTTAGGCTCATGGTTTTGGAGGTTTCTGTTCATGGTCAGCTGGCTCCATTGCGCTTAGCCCTACGGCAAAGGTAGAAACAGACTTTGGTGGTGGAAACCTTGGTGTTTCAGACATAGGAAGCAGAGAGAAGAGAGAGATCCAGAGAGGAAGGGACCAGGGACCAAATTTGGTCCCCAGGTCACACCCATGTGATCTACTGCCTTCAACGAGGCCCCACCTTTTCCCATCACCTTCCAGTAAAGCCGCAAATGATGACCTCATCTGTGGGTTAACCCACTGATGAAGTGAGAAACCTTATGATCCAGTCACTTCCCAGAAGACTATCAACAACCAAGCCTTCAACTCAGTGAGCTTTTTCGGGGGGATTCCAACCATAACAATTGGATCCCAACCATAACAATTCTAGGACATTGGGCCGGGGATATAGCCCATCGGCACAGCACCTGCCTGGCAAGTGCAAGGTCCTGAGTTCAATTCCTAGTACCAAAGAAAAAAAAAATTCTAGAACATTTTCTTCCAATATGTATGTGAGAGTATGCATGTATATACACATATATGTTATGGGCGTTTATTCTATATATGCTATTTTATATTCTGCTTTTAATTTTATCAAGCACATTTTCTCATGTCATTTAACAAGTATTTATAAATAACCACTACATAATATTTCTGTAGCAATAACTGTACCATAGTTTGCTTCATCATTATGTGTACTTAGTACCCAGTTCCCTTAGTAACAACACCTGGACAAAGAGCTCTGTCTAGTTATGTATCTGAGTCTTCAGTCTGGTAGGGAATCAGTTGCACATACTCTGTAGTGTGAGGTTTTCCAACGGTTTTCATGCCTTCTCTTTTTTTTTTTTTTTTTTTTCATGCCTTCTCTGACGCCCATCTTCCCGTCCCCTTTGCTTTCTCCAGCTGGGAGGGAGGCTGAGCATATGTCCTCCCCATGGGGAGAATCTTCTCCAGAGGAGCTCCGTTTCGGGAGTCTCACCTACAGTGACCCTCGGGAGAGGGAGCGCGACCAGCATGACAAAAATAAACGGTAATCACCTTTTTGGGGGATAGCTGCAGTTCCAGAACTCAGTTCTCCAAATGCAGGCGTCTTGCTTTAAGAAAGACAGTATTAAGTGCCATGTGGCATCAAGCTTTTTGCTTTGTTCCCTCCCTCCCTCCCTTCCTCTCTCTTCCTCACTTTCTGTCTTCTCTCCCTTTCCCCGCCCCTCCCCCTGGGGATGGAATCCAGTGCCTTTGCACTCAGCTACGTCCCTCACCCTTTTTAAATTGTGAGTTGGGGTCTCACAGACTTGCCTAGGCTGGCTTTGAACTCACAATGTTTTTGCCTCAGCACCCCCTACAGTGCTGGAATTGCAGGCCTGCACCACCATCACACCCAGCTTCAAGCTTGTCTTTTCTTTAAGGAACTAATAGGAAATATTTTCAATTCTACTCAGGCTTCTGGACCCTGCCAACACCCAGCAATTTGATGACTTTAAGAAATGCTATGGAGAAATCCTCTATCGTTGGGGCCTGAGAGAGAAACGGGCGGAAGTGCTGAAGTTTGTGTCCTGTCCTCCTGATCCTCACAAAGGGATCGGTGAGTATGCATTTCTTCCTTTTCCTAGCCCTGGCTGAAAGGGTCTGTCGTTTCATTTGTCATAGCCTCAGACTTGGAATGAAGTTTCAGCTTTTCATGATAAGCAGAAATTTCTGGAGCATCTTGAGTCTGTTTCGAGCTCCTGAAAACCCTTGGATTTCATAACAGGATTAACTTTTTGTTGAAACAGAAGTAGTTTGAGACCCAGAACTGATCAGAAAGAGAGCTGTTTGTTCACTTGCTTGGCTAATGCGTTTCAAAGCCCGCTCAAGCTGGGGATTTAGCTCAGCGGCAAAAGCGCCTGCCTGGCAAGCGCAAGGTCATGAGTTTGGTTCCCGGTACCGGAGAAAAACCAAAAACAAAAAAAAAAAAAAAAAATACAATCAGGGAAAACGCCTCTTTGGGGCGGGGGATTTAGCTGGGGCTGGGGATTTAGCTCAGCGGCAAAGCGCCTGCCTGGCAAGCGCAAGATCATGAGTTCGGTTCCTGGTACCGGAGAAAACCCAAAAAAAAAAACCCCGCTCGGTGCTCACACATTCCTTCCTCTTGTGGACCTGACAGCCGAGTGGGGAAAAATTAAGTAATTGCAAATCATAACAAATATTAAAGAAGAAACAAAGCTGATGGGGCAGGGAGAGCAGGAGGGGAGGGTTTCGGGAGGTGGTGGAAGTGTACTGGGAAGGCCATGCTGAAGGGCTGAGGACCGAGGGATGAGAAGGAGCCGCCAGCCAGAGCGGCAAGAAGAGCAGCACCCCGTGCAGCGGGAGCAGCCCACAGAGAAGTGACTTGTCGCTTCGAAGGGGTGAAGGAAGGCCAGTGGCTGGAACACAGCTTGCAGGAAGAGTGGAATAAAATTAGAGTGGGTAGCCAGGCGCAGTGGTGCATACTTATAATCCTAGCACTTGGGAAGCTGAGGCAGTAGGATCATGAGTTTGAAGCTAGCCTGGGCTATACAGCAAATTCAAGCTGGCCTATACTGTGTAGGAAAGACTTTATCTCTTCCTTCCTTCCTTCCTTCCTTCCTTCCTTCCTTCCTTCCTTCCTTCTTTCGTTCCTTCCTTCCTTCCGTCTCACTATGCAGTTCAGGCCAGCCTTGAGCTCACTTTGTATCCTACGCTGGTCTCAACTCTCAGTGATCCTCCTGCCTCAGCCTCCCAAGTTCTGGGATTACAGACATGTACCACCATGCCCAGCTGACCTTATCTCATTAGAGAGAGAGAGAGGCACAGAGGATGGGTATAGAAATGGATAGGTATGTACAGTTCGACAGGAGGAATAATTTCTGGGCCAGGGATATTAGCTCAGCGGCACAAGCACCTGCCTGGCAAGCACAAGGTCCTGAGTTTGATTCCCAGTACCAATAAAAAAGAGGAGGAATGACTTCTAATGTTCTGTAGCATAGTAGGGTCACTATGGTAGGAAACAGTTAACTGAATATTTTAAAATAGCACATAGAGAGGATTTTGAAGGTTCTCAACACGAAGAAAAGGTTAATATCTGAGGTGATAGATATGCCAGTTACTCTGATCTGATCACTATACATTGTGTTAGGGTACAGTGTGAAATGCCACATTGTACCCCAGAAACATGTACCATTACTATGTCAGTTAAAAAATTAGTAAAATATTTTAATAACATAAACAAAAAAACTAGGTTGCAGGATATTAGGGCCATAGCAGGCAAGGACTTGTAGGCTGTGGGAAAGAATTGGGGTTGTTATCCTGACTCCAGTAGGGAGCCTCAGAGGGCATTGAGAAGCAACATGCTAAAAACAAAATAAAGCGCAACATGCTCTGGTTCGCACTTCAGGAAGATCACCTTGGCTGTTCGGGAGGAAGGACTGCAGGAGGGCAGGGTAGAAGTGGGAAGACCGCTGGGAGACTAGGACAGGGGTCAGAGGTCAGCAGCCTGCTCTGAGGGTGGTACTGGAGGTGGAGAGAGATGGGTAGGTCCCAGTATGTTTGAGAGGGAGACTCAGTATGACTTGCTAATAAATTGGATGTGGGATTGAGGAAGGAGGACAAAGCTTGGCTGATTCCTAGATTTCCACCTTGAGCAACTGGGCAGGTGGCAGTGCTGTATTCTAAGAGAAAAGATGCTTAGTTTGGGATCTGCATCGGTGCCAGAGACAGGGACTGCAGAGCCTTGTGGGCCGTGGGATGTGAGCAGTGCTCAGGAAAGATTGGGGCGCGAGCCCGGAATCGCAGCTGTGCGGATGGGTGGGTTCACCTGGGAGCCAGAGGTGAGAACACAGCTTAGCGTGAGCGCGGCTGACAGCCTGGCCGCCCACTTGCCTGGGCCTTGGTAGGAGCGAGTGCTTGGAGCGGGGTCCAAGGGGAAGAGCCAGAAGCAGCCTCCGAATGAGACGCCAGGGAGTTTGAGGAAAAGCTAGACTGTGATGTGAGTGCTCCTAAGCAAAAAGATTTTTTGAAAGGAAGAAATGGAAGACTGCCAGAGAGAGTGGGCTGAACACACTGGTTTCCTCTCTCCCCAGACTCACCCGGTGTCTGTACAGAGCTTCTCTGAAAAGGCGTGACTGTGCAAGAAATAATGTCGCAGGGGAATGTGGGCTCTGGGAAGCAGATAGGTGGCTGATTTTACAGGGCCTGATAAGCTGAGCCTGCACTGGCAGTCGGGAAACAGAAAGGGCCACTGCAGAGCCCCGCATGGCTCAGGACTCAGCAGTCCCCAGTACCTCTGGGAGAGGCTCGTGTGATGGCTTCTAGGGTGCCCAGGCTCCCCCTGCTAGTTTGCAGAGCAGGATATTACCGCTGCTGTACCCAGCAGAAAGCTGGAAGTTTATTCTCCAGAGAAGGTGAGCACTTTCCTACGTGGAGTGGGCCACGAAGTACCCGAGCTGATGAAGGGAGAAAGACCGGGGGCAGAGCAACCTCAGCAGCTTTCGGAGAGACGACGCGGGTCACATATGAAGGGGGGGACGGGGCGGCCTCGCACTCTGAGGAGCAGTTCTGGAAACGGGAGGAGAGTGCGCCACCCTCTGCAGAATGACCAAGAAAACGGCTCTTGCCGGATTCTGAATCCCGATCACCAGTCACACGTGAAAGTGGGCCTTCAGCCGAAGGAGGAGGAGGACTAGACTCAGCACGGGAAGTGAGGGGTCGGGTATGGATGGAGGGCTCACTGCCGCAGCCCTAGAGAGATAGCCCAGGGCCCACTGGCGCCTCGGGAGCTTGGGTTCAGAGACAGCAGATTGAAGATAACGTATCTAGTATATTGCAGTGTTCGGTGTATTTATAGAAGGATCAAATATTTGAGGGAGAGTTTGGAGATGAATTATTGATAAGTACATAGCAAACTAAGCACGTAAAAAAATGAGACAGTTACTAATTCTGGGATAAGCAAAATGTGCAAGAAAGAAGTGCCTTAGCACACACAGGGATGCTTACCTGGGTGAGTAATGTACAAGCAGAACACGACCCAGCCAGACAGAACTGGGGGGGAGGGGCAGTGTGTGTGCAGCTGGGGAGACGGGGGTGGGGTGGAGGAGGAGTGGTCACCGTGCAAAGTCATAGATAGTAGATAATGCTTACAAATTATATGTAAGAAATAGCTTCATAAATACGCTGGTTCAAGATAAGGTAAACCCAAAAGAAACATTTCAATGAACTAAAAAGATTTCTTCTTTTTCTCAATGAGGTGTGAGATATCAGGGAATGCTGGTTTTTGTAAGATGCATAGAATTATTTTCCCTTTTTTTGTGGGGCTGGTTGAGACAGCTTCTCACTATGTAGTTCAGGCTGGCTTTGAACTCACTATGTGGCCCAGGCTGGCCTCAGACTTGATGTGATCCTCCTGCCTCAGCCTCTCCAAGTGCTGGGATTACAGGCATGCACCATCCTGCTCGGCTCTTGACTCAAGTTGTGTGTACATAGTTCAGTTTGAAAAACAAATGAAACAATATTTACATTTAGACATTAAAAAACAGAGGTGAACTTACTGTGGCTTACTTTAGTATAGGTACTTGAAGAAATGCAAAGACACAAAATGGCGTTTGGGCAACATATGTTTCCAGAGCATCTCGATGCAGGAAAGTATACCAGGAAGAGATTAATGATAGCCTGGAGTAATTTGTTTTTTAAGATTAGTTTTTAGGAAAACATAAATCACAGAGATAGGGAACAGATACCAATCCACTAGTCAACTTAACCCTTATTGACACCTAATGTTTAATTCTGTGGGGTATACAGAGAAACAGGTATGGTTTGGGGCAGGGGCAAGAAGTCTGTAATCCAATCAGAATTTAAGCATAAACTCATGAACACCTAAAAGATAGTCAGGAGTTAACAGCATGAAACTGGATGTGGAGGCAGGAAGATCACAAGTTCAAGGCCAGCCTGTGCTGCCTGTCAAGTTCAAGGACAGCCTGGACTGTAAGACCCTGCCTCATTTTAAAAAATAAATAAACAAACAAACAAGCATGAATAGTGTGTCCTATATCAATAAAGATAATATCACAAGCCAGGCATGGTGGCGCACCCCTGTAATCCCAGCACTCAGGAGGCTGAGGCAAGAGGATCACCGTGAGCTCAAGGCCAATCTGGGCTACATAGCAAGTTCAAGGCCAGCCTTGAACAGAGCCAGACCCTGTCTCCAAAAAAACAAACAAAAATACCCCACAATATCACAAGGTTTCAAAAGCAGGCAGGAAGATGGTAAGTGATTTTCAGATAAAAACAAGGGTCATCCAGGATGTGCAGGCTTCACCATAGCAAATTTGAAGGATAGGGTTGTTCTCATATATACGAGGTTAGATACTTGTAGGAGGGGCTCAAGCCTTCATTTATTTGGGGAGAATGATGGTGGACACACTATTCCTTTTTTAAAAAATGTAAGTGGAGTTCCGTTTTCTTGGTTTTTTTCCCCACGCAGCATGTGATGTGTTTGGTTATAGCAGGGGCAAAGTCGGGGAGTGCTTTGACTTTGCAGCCTGCCCATGGGGATGATTCCTTCCCTAGAGGCGCAGATCTGCCCGCTTAAGTTTTGTTCGGCAGTTTTCTGGTTCAGTTTATTAATTTAATGTCTTATGTGTTTGGCTGGTTCTATTTACATTTGTGCCCTTTTTGTTGCATGGTTAACAAACTAGTGTCATCTGCCCTTGGAGTTAACGTCTGTCCAGAGGCTTTATAAAGCCTCAGAATCATAATTTGACTGTTCAGTGTGTTTCAAGTTCTCCCTTCCCTTTCCTTCTCCTGGGGATTTAACCCAGGACCTTCACACTGAGCTACATCTCTAGCCCATTTTTTATTTTGAGATAGAGTCTCACGAAGTCACAGTTTGCCTAGGCTAGCCTTGAATTTGTAACTCTCCTGCCCCAGCTTCCCAGAGTGCTGGGATTATAGGCATGCACCACCACAACCAGCTCTGAAGTATATTATCACCCTTCATTATTTGTCTGTTAGGAGCCAAGAATGATCCAGTTCTTCTCTACCAGGTTTCAGCTGCAAAACCAATACTATGCCTCTTACCTGTGATCCTCAAGTTTGTTACTTTCCCGGCCTGTCAGGCCAGGACAGCTCTGCTTGTGGAAGGCTGGGGGTCCCTAAGGCAAAGAATAGTTTTCTGGGAGGGTCTGCAGACTTTATGTCTGTGCGTAAAGCCTTTTCCTCCTCCTAATAATGGTTTATCAAGCCCAGTTAAATGATACTGAAATTTAAATGTGACCTTTTAGGTACGACCTTGGCCATAAACTTAATTTACCCATTTGTATCCTGATGAGGGGGCAGATTCTTACTGAACCTGCGTAAATACTTTTTCATGAACAGGCAATTTGTTTGACACTTAACTATTGTTTTGAGCAATTGTGTAGATAAGGCCAATCAGTGTAGAATTGTTTCCTATGGAATTGCTGTTCCTAAGTCTTCCTGATGCAGTAGTATTATAATCTACATTAAGATCTTTTTTTGGATTTTTTTTTCCTTATGAATTCTGGAAGACTAACTGGAACAGATCTGTTCACTTAATTTACGTAAGTATAGTCTACCAGTAAAAAGGGTGAGGATTAATATGTGTATGTACCAATACCCCACAATGAATATGTTTATTATCACAAGTATAATACATTTTTTTACTGTGTGAAACCTGTTAAGATGAGGGTTAGCGTTGGAGCAAGAAAAGGAGTTTTCTCTCAAATGTCTATTAGAAAATAGGCCATTGGCCATAATTAAATCTTTTCATCAGTTTTATTTGGCCTTTAGCATTCTGTTATAAAAACTGTCCCTGTAGAAGGACAGAGGGGAGGAACCGAGCTTGGGTGATTTGCGGAGGTGGCAGCTTGACGAGGAAGGAGTCCCCGCCCCCATTCAGGGACTTCTCTTTCCTCGGGGACGTGGGAGACAGCTGGAGAGGCTCGCAGAGGGGCAGCCCTGTGGGAGCGGGAGAGACGCAGCAGTGCTGGTTGTGTGAAGCGAGGCGCACTTCTTGATGGCCACCCCTCCTTCTGGGCCCCTCGGCTCCCTGGAACAGATGTGGAGGGGGCAGGGGACACAGGCTTGCACATCTTCCAGCTGGTGCAGCACAGGAGGGGCCAGAAATTGAGGATATTCGCAAAGAAGTGATTTTAGAGTCGGTCCTATAACTGCATGCAGTATTGCATGCCTGTCATCCCAGCACCCTAGAAGCTGAGGCAGGAGGATCACCAAGTCCTGCTGAGGCAACTGAGTAGGACCATACCTCAGAATGAGAAATCTTAAAAGGGCCGAGATACAGCTCGGGGGGAAGGCCCTGGGTTCAATCCCCAGTACTACAAAATAAATAAATAAATAAAGCTGGCCATGTAATTTCAGGCTGACCACAGGGCAAGTGCAGCCTGAAGCGGGCAGGTAGGGTGCAGGGCCCCAGTAGGGTGCGTTTTAGAGCCACCAAGGCTTACGCTGAGGGCTGAAGCAGATCGGGTTGTATAGATGGGGGCTGCACCTCACGATCTTTTCCAAGCAGCAGGACCCATGCCTGGCAGAGAGGTGGAGCAGCGTGGCCATTTTCCCTCCCACCAGTGGGGAGGAGGGCAGTAAAGTGAATTGGCTGAAGCCAGGTACAGTGGTATAGCCCTGTAAACTCATCACTCAGGAGGCTGAGGCAGGAGGATCACAGTGAGTTCGAGGCTAGCCTGAACAACAGAGAGACCCTATCTCGAAAAAAAGGAGAACAAGCTGTGAAGTTGGTAAAACCTGTGCACTTTCACCTGAAATGTTTCCAAGCCATCCCATTCTTTCAGCAAATCACGTGCCAGCCACTGCAGAGCCAGGGGAGGCAGTGGGTTTCCCACAGGCCTCTAAGAGCCACAGGCTGGCCACCCCTCCGCCCTCCCTCTGCCACCGTAGTGACAGTGGTTCCACTTTTGGAGACTTGCCTACATGGCAGAAGTAGTTCTGCTGTTTTAAAAAAAGGTGGCAGACATGGTTGTACACACCTGTAACCCCGGCACTCGGGAGGCTAAGGCAGAGAGGAGCTCAAGGCCAGCCTGCACTACATAGCAAGATCCTATCTCAAAAAACGAGAGCATAAAGGAAAACCACTGGTCTGACAGAATCCGAGGGCAGTTTCCTTCCTCCCAGCAGTGCCCAGTGTCCTCTGTCTGAGCCAGTCTCACGGTGCCTCTTGTTTTGCCCGTCCCCATCCGTCTGCAGAGTTCGGCGTGTACTGCAGCCATTGCCGGAGCGAGGTCCGCGGCACGCAGTGTGCCATCTGCAAAGGCTTCACGTTCCAGTGTGCCATCTGCCACGTGGCCGTGCGCGGGTCGTCCAACTTCTGCCTGACCTGCGGGCATGGTGGCCACACCAGCCACATGATGGAATGGTTCCGGACGCAGGAGGTGTGTCCCACGGGGTGCGGGTGCCACTGCCTGCTGGAAAGCACTTTCTGAGCTCACGGACCATGAGCCCCATGGAAATCCCAGAGGGCTGCGAAATGCCAGCAGAAACCTTGTGCCAGGGAAGCTCCGGACGGGGCTTGTCCCTAGCAACGTGGGAACAGGTTCGCCTGCGGACCGCACTGCCGCAGCTGCTCCCCAGAAACACTTGTGGTCTCTTTTCCTTGGCTGCCCCGACCTGGACATTGCTGGCCAAAGAGGAGGCCGGGGTCACAGAGCCGGACTCTTGTCTGCATCTGCTGTGTCTGCACCACAGTGGACGTTTTCACTGGGGAAGCACCTGCTTGCTGGGCCAGTGTCAACCTCCAAGGCGAGAAGCCTGTGCCACCAGCAGGCTCTGCCGATGCCAGGGTAGAGACCTAGGCAGCTACAAAAGAGTGTCCTGGGCCACAGAGCAGGGGATGTAATTTAGTCAACAAGCGAGCCCATGACACCTGGAGCTTTAGAAGATCCTGGTATCAGCATCTAATGAGCTGATGGACAGCGGCCACCTGAAATAGGATACTGAAAATGTAAAATGTGATGTACTTGAGGATTCCTAAGATGTATTTTTTTATCTTACCTCCAGCTGCTTTCCCTTGACTAATAAAATTCTAGTCATTGTTAAAAAAAAGAGAAAGAAAAATAGTTGTACATCTAGGTGAATCTTTTTTTACCCTGCTTATAATTGAAGTTAGCTATTTCGGATAGGACCAAAATCACTGCTCTGCTTTTTAAAGGAAATGCTGATGACTTTGGCCATCTGACAGGAGGAAATAGACTTCAGCATTGAAGGTTCTCCCCAGTTCCAGGAGTCTTACAATTATTTCTTGTAACAAAAGGGTCAGATTGCATTGCGGCATTGGCGCAGCAGTCCCTCCTGCCTCGGCGCAGGCTGGTGGACGTCCCGGGAGCACCCCACTGTTATCTGGGCTCCAGGTAAACGTTGCCCAGGTTTGCTATGCTCCAGGGTCTCCTGCGAGCACCATTTCTTTAGAAGGATTTTCAGCTCATCACCTTTTTATGTACAGAAATAGAAACCCTCTTTATTTCTGTTGAGATCCCTCTTAGAATTTTACAGTTCCAAATTGGTTATTTTAAGGAATACGAACAATTACGTGTCGCATAATCGTAGTGTTCTATGTCACTGTGTTTCAGGCTCCAAGTCAGGACTCATTAATGGACTGTGAAATCAATGCTGTGGCTAAAAACCAGCATTTAAAGACAATGAAATAAGGTGAAAGAGAAGCGGTCAGAGTGTATCAGCATAGTTAAGGTGAATAATGTTTTGCGTAGCTTGTTTACAGATGTGTCCTGGATCATTATATAAACTCATCTCTTACTGAAGGTTGGAGTCATAAACCCTTGGTTTAGGTGATGCTTGTACCTTGTCCCCCGTGGGTCAGGAGACAGCATTGCATAGGTCAAGGGCTTAGGTCCTGCAGTGAGACCAAAGGCTGAACACTGGGCTGACCCGAGTGGTGCCAGGGTGAGCAGCCAGGTCTAGGTGAGGGAGAGAGGCCTTTGACTTCCCAGTTTGTTTGCACCCTCTCCCCTTGTTTGGGTCGTGGCTGCTGTGACAGCGACCCCAGAGTAGGTTGACCAGTTGACACAGAGATCAAGCCTCTGATGTGTCACTTGGTGAATCCACATTGCGGAAAATTGTTCCTGTTCCCCACTGCTCAAACGAATGCAAAAATCTGTCCCGGTGTGTCCCCATCGAAAATGAGATGTTTTTCTTAGTTTGTGGTTGTCTTTCAAAGCAGAGAAATGTTCCTGGAGGTTATGAAGCAATCTGAAGTTTAAAACATTACATAGTGTCTTCTTTCAATATGTGAATTTCTTTTGAATTTCTAGCTTACCAGAACAAAAGTCTTAATTAATTTATTTATTTATTTATTTTGGTACTGGGAGTTGAACTCATGACCTTGTGCTTGCCAGGCAAGTGCTTTTGCCGCAGAGCTGTATCCCCAGCCCCAAGAGCCTTAATTTAAAAAAAAAAAAAAAAATCGCATTTGGCTACACGGTCTGGATGGTAACCATGGTCCCTTTGCTCAGCTTCGGAGTGGATTATTACAAGCACCTGAGTGTTTTTTTGTTTTGGTTTGGGTTTTTTTGTAAAAACATTATAAACTTTGAGCTTGGCAAAACCGGGCCTGCAGCCTTATTTGTGCAGCAGAAACAACAGCTTGCTTAGTCAGCTTGCTGGAAAGAAGGGGCGGGGCCCTCTGGATGACCACCAGGTTGAGTGTGTGTTCTTGTCTCTAGACTGCCCCAAACCCAAATGGTGTGGCACTTTCCTCATTGATGCCATATAGAATCCTCAATGTTTAAAAATTTTTCTAAATTTCATTTAATATAAAAATGCCGTCAGGGTGAAGGTGGCAGATTGACGTGCTGGCACTCTGCCCCTTAGCCTGTGGTTCCCTCGGCGGCTGGCAGGATTACGGAGCAAGGCAGTGTGTCATTCAGTGGCTTACGGCAGCAGGCGCTAAGGAAGGGACAGGAGTCAGTCACGGCGTCCAGAGACGAGCACGGCCTGGGGTGGAAGGGTGGGGGAGCCGTCTGTAGTTCCCATACAACGGAAAGACTTCCTAGAACGTTGATTTTTGTTAGCTGTAGAAAAATGGTTGAGAACACAGGGTTATAAATTGTACCCAAGAGCCAGATGCCAGGTGGTAAAACACACTTCGGTTTTCTCATCCTTCTTAGGAGCCAATGTTGTTATCAGAGTCAGAAATAAATTTGCCACATTGGAGTTCTGTCCTGTTGGTGAATTCGGGTCACCGCAGTATCACCGATCTGGTATTTTTTCCTTCAACCTCAGAAGACCTGGTTTTATTCATCAGGTTACTTAGCTAGAAGTGAGCAGTGGGCAAAGGTGAGCCATAAAAGTGTGGGCTCTGCCCTGCTGCCGGTGGACTCCCTTAGGAAGCTGGCGTACGCGGCATTATGTTGTAATGCATTAAGTACATATTAAGTTCATGCTAAGTATTTATGTAAGTGCTTTCACCAGCGTGTGTTGCTGGCTTGCTGGAAAGGAAAGTAACGGGTGAGGGCCAAGAGCATGCAGAGGAAAAGACTTAGCTGAGCAGCTTTGAAATGTGTTACTTTTTTAAATTGTTGACTTTAATTTTTATTAGCATACATTTGCAATACATAATGATGACAGTCATCCTGAGGAGTTGGTACATGTACACAACAAGTTGGAAGGTGTTTTTAGCCAGTTATGCTGCTGCATGCCTGTAGTCTCAGCTCTTGGGAGGCTGAGGCAGGATTGCTGCGAGTTTGAGGCCAGCCTGGCCACCTAGTTAGAGGTCAGCCTGAACTGCAAAGTAAGATCCTGTCTTAAAAAAAAAAAAAAAGTTGTTGTTTTTAAGTGAAAGCTAAGTGTTCTCAGGTTGGGAAGAGTGGGGAGGCACGGGAAGGGAAATGCCAGGGCCGGGCAGGAAGACACGGCACTGGGCTGAGGGAAGTGTGACTGTTTCCTGTGGTGGTGCAGAGCTGATAAAAGAGGCTGGCTAGGAGGCGGGAGCCAGAATCTAGTGAACCTGGACGCTGCCCCAAGGGCCCTGGGTTTTATCTATAAGCCTGGAGTCCCAGTCTTTCCTGGACTCTGAGCCGCACTGAGCTTCCCCAGTGTGGTGGTTTCTATCTGGTTTATGTCTCCCCAAAGCCTCCCGTGCTCATCAGTGGCGCTTGCGGGAGGTGATTGGATGCTGGGTGTGTGATGCTCATCGGTGGGTTAGTCTGCTGATGAGTTTATAGCTAAGCATGATGTGGGAGGTGAAGCCTGGTCTGAGGCGGTCACTGGGTGGCGTGGCCTGGAGAGGTCCATCTCCCTCCTTCCCGCCTTGATCGCTCATGCTCCCCGCCCCAGCCATGACGTAATTCCCGCCGCACCATCCTGCCTGGGAGCTCTTTCCACCGTGGACTGAAACCTCTACAAACGGAGCTAAAATAAACCTCTTCTTTAAATTGTGAGTGTTTTCTCCCAGGGATGAGAAAAGCAACTGAAACGCCCTCCTCCCTGTCCACTGGCCCCCAAGATGTATGGAGCCCTGCAGCCCCACCTCCCCGCCTGGGCTGGTGTTAGGGCGCAGAGCTCACCTTGGCTTCAGCCCTTCTGTGCCCAGGGCAAGCCGCTGAAGCCCCCGTCGTGTTCCTAGCACAGCACGTTCCTGTCTCCAGCATGTGCGGGGATTTCCTCCCTCTGCCGAGCGGTTCTTCAGCACATACCCACTGGCGATGGCGTCAGATCCCGCAGGTTAAGAGCTTGATCCAGCAACACCGTCCCGCGTCCTGTGTCAGCCTCAAGTCCCAGGTTGGGACCTTCACTTCTAAGAAACTGGCTGTGAACCAGAGGTTTCTGGGACATCTTCCTCGGGCTCAGTTAGGAGCCTGAAGGGACCTGGAGACATTTACATTTTCCTGTGTGATAAAGGATGTTGTAAGTCTACAGATAACAGGCAGGTGAAGGGTGCACATGGCAAGGTGTGGAGGAGGGACCCGTCCAGCGCCGTCCTCCGTATGTGCAGCAACCGAAAAGCTCTCCGACCCCATCCTTTTGGGTGTTTATGGAGGTCTCATTAGGTGGGCTCAGTTGCTTAAGTCGCTGGCAGTTAGTGAGCAACTCAGCCTTAATCCCCTCTCCTCCCTGGAGGTCAGGGGAGGGGCTGGAAGCGGCCACTCTCTAATCACACCCTGGCAGCAGCCGGCATCCCAAGGTTCCCCAGGAGCGCATCAAGACTCCCTTCATTAGAACAAAGGACTCTTCTGTCACCCTGGACGTTCCAAGGCGCTTAGGGCTTTGTGTCAAATGCACCTGTCACTCAGGAAGTGACAAAGGCCTTAGGAGCTTTGTGTCAGGAACTCCAGCCAGAGCCCAACTATTGGAACAAAAGTTCTCTCAGTCCCATCACACAGGAAATTACAAAGGGTTCAGGAGAAGTATGTCTGGAGCCAGGACAGACTGGATGTTTGATTTTTACTGTATCACTTGATCACACCCACTGAGGGAAGCGGTGTTTTCTCTCACATCAGGTCCACTGGGCCCACACATATTTAAGAAAAGCGTTTTATATTTTTCTTTTGCTCTAATGATAGAAACAAAGTTTTGTTACTATTTTATCTTCTTCAACCAGCTTCTATACAATTTTTTGTTTTGTTTGACACACTATGTAGACGAGGCTAGCCTTAAACTTGCTAGATAGCCCAGGCTGGCCTCAAATTGGTGATCCTCCTGCCTCAGCCTCCCAAGTGCTGCCATTGCAGAAATGCACTGCCATACCCCTCCCATGTGATTTTCTTAAATGGGCTTTACTTGATTTCCACAAATCACGAAAGTACAGGTGTGAAACATAAAGGCAATACCTGTCTCATAGGAGGATCACTGTTGAGTTTGAGGCCCCCCCTGAATTACATAGTGGACCCTGTCTCAAAAAAAAGAGAAAAAGCACAGGTTTTCATGTACCATTTTCTTCCTGGTGACAAAATTGATTCTTTTAATCTTCAGAGCATTGTAGATCTCGTATTGTTGCAAGAAATAATAGAATGATCTGGAGTGTGTGTGTGTGTGTGTGTGTGTGTGTGTGTGTGTGTGTGTGGCTCAGATGCTGTCCCCTCCCCCACCACCACTGCTCTCAGGGTGCATCGGTGTGAAGCAGCAGCTCCACCTCCGGGATAAACATGGCGTCGTCTCTGCATAAAGAACCCGTGATCAGCTGGATCTGCTCATCCGGGCTGTGGAACCATCGGTTTGCAGCAGGAACACACACTATACCAACGAGACGACTGAGGCTGCTGAAGCCGTGCTTCCTACAGAATCTCCTGCCTGCTTGAGGGATTCAGAAAGTCCTGTATTTATCCGTGCTGCTATGAGGCTGGATGTCATGAAACTGTCAGCTGAAGAACCTCAGCCAATGGCTACCTCACCTTTTCCTGCATCACCAACAGCCGTGAGCCAATGAAAAAGAAAAGTTGGCCATAAACCAAAGACCCAGCCATCGCCAATTTCCAGTGGCTCCTAAGTTAGGTATTGAGAAGAAACCCAGAGAAAGAAAAGGAAACAACCCATGTGTGGGAGTTGTAGATCTATTTCAAAATAAAAATACCTATTTCTGCCATATTAAGTGGACTCAGGCGCATATTCAAGCTTGTGGATTCAAAGACCATCTCTAAGCTTTGGGGAAAGCATAAGAACAAGCCAGACATGAACTATGAAACTACGGGTTGAGCTTTGAGATACGGCTACCAAAGGAATTCTTGCAAAGATTGAAGGCAGAAGGCCTTCTGGAGGAGAGCTACTCGGGGCGTGGGGCACAGGAAGCAGAGAGGGCCAAGGGAAGAGCGGGGGGGGGAGGGGGAACCCTTGCAGGCCACATCCCGGGGACCCAGCTCTGCCAACCACACGCTGCCTCCAACGACAAGTCAGCTTTTAGCCCCCGTCACCCACTCACCTTTCAGAAGCCCCGTGGGTGAGCGTGTGAGGCTTTGGGGGACTTTTTAAATCTAAATTGTAACTGTAGTGTATCATAGTCAGGAAATTGACATTAGTACTGTCCATCCACCCTATTGAGATTTCACAGTTTTGCATATGTATGTGTCTGTGCTCATGTGTGTGTGTGTGTGTGTGTGTGTGTGTGTGTGTGTGTGTGTGTGTACTTAGTGGTCTGCAACTTTATCACGTGTAGATTTATGCCGCCACCACCATCACAGTCAGGACACAGAACAAGGATCCCTCGTGCGACTCTTACACACAGTCATCTCCTGTCCCACCTCCCTAAGCTACTGGCAGCCACTAATGTACTTAATCATTCAACTGTTGAAAGACATTCGTGTTGTGCCCAGTTTTTGTTTGTTTGTTTTTGCTTTTTTCAAGACAGGGTCTCCCTGTGTAGTGCAGGCTGGCCTCAAACTCATGGCGATCCTCCTGCCTCAGCCTCCTAAGTGCTGGGATCACAGGCGTGCACCACCATGCCTGGCTTGTTTCCAGTTTTCAATTTGAAAATTATTTTGTTAATTTTTTCAAAAACAAAATTGTTGGCTGGGGA